AAAAAAAAATTTATCAATTTTTAAGTTTTTTATTTTCAGTATTAAAAAATAAATCTAAAAATGTAGCGCAAGTGTCTATGGATTATATTTAAAAGAAATTTTTAAAAAATATTGATTAGAACAAAAGTTATTTCATTTGTCAGAATGTCATATCTCTTTGGGACACCTGTATGATGTATATTTAAATTATATTCAAAAAATCATCAATATTTTTTATTTATTTTAGTCTATTCTGTGTTATTACTTTATGRTACAAAATTAGAATTAAATAAAAAAACAATCAAATATTAAAGTATTTTGTATAGTTTAAATTTAAAATTATCAATGTAAATGCATTAATGCACAGTACAATGTGGTTATATCACTTATAACCCATAATGTTTTAACTAGAAATTATAAAATTTGGATATGAATTATTATTTACAGATGGAAATTATATTATAATGGAACTTATTAATATACAATTCTTGCATACCATTTACAGTTAATCTTTTTTTCTAATATCTCTGCGTATCTCTGTAAATCAGTATTCAAAAAATTAAACCTTCAAATTAGGTTTAAAATAAATTATAAATCAAGAAGATTGGATTAGCCATACAAATCTAGTGTCATATACTCGTATCATATTATCGTGTAAATTATTTATGAAGTCCATACACCTATAATTTTAGAGTTTAAGATATTGTGAATTAAATAGGTACTTACAAAACAGAAACATAGTTTCTTATTAAGTAAAATATTTACTTTAATCAATTTTTTTCTGAAATTAGTAAAAATGTTTATTAATTAATTAAAAATTAAAACTATTACATTATAYCAAAGTATTTATCAAATCAAGATATAAAGTATTCAACATATTAAAATAAATCATCCAACGCAACATTACCAGGTATCTAATTTTGTATTTGCAAAAATAATTTCAATATAGTACTAAGTATGTGCATTTTCCAACTCAAATGTATCTACCAAGATAAATATTTAAAATATAAGGTTGGACGATGAAATATTATTTTAATTTTAAATTTAAAACATGATCAAATATGAATCATAAATGATAAATTAATAATAATAATAATCTTTCCTTATTTAATCCTTACATAATCTTCATAATTTTTCATCTCTTCAGAAACTACATCAAATATAAATTAGTTTGTAATTTATTAATAGATAATAAAATTTTATTTATGCATTATAATATACAATTTAAGAAATTTAAATGATAGTATTTTGTATTTGTTGTAACTTTGAAGTTTGAACATATTATTAAAAACACATATTATTTAAATTTAACTATAATTGAGCCATCATAGTTACACTAGAAGCTAATAAAAAAAAAAAAAATATTTAAAATAATTTAACAATAATATTCTAAACCAATGATAATTTAACCAGTCAAACAGATATATCATAACATTTTATAACTATATGCATTGATAGGAACATACACAAATGTATTCCTTCAAATGTTAAGTTAATAAAGTATCATTTAAAACTTTTATTATTTTATAATCCTAATTATTTGCAYATCTACATATCAATACAATTTAAGTATCTGCATGAGTGTATCTAATTTTCAATACAACTGAACTGATTTTAACTGACAGAGAGGGGTCTAACAAAGAATCATCTTAATTCTAAGTTATTTTTTACCCTAAAATTAAAGCCCTTAGTTGTTCTGTAGCATTTTTTTTTTTTTTTTTAAACAAATATTTATTTTGCTAATTTCTGGTTGAAAAATTGGTCACACAGATATAAAAAATTAATATTTACCTACCTATTATTTAATGTAATAGTCACAGGGAACTAAGTATACTTGTAAATATAACATTCTGTTGGTTTACAATTCATTATTTTTCATAAATAACAAATAAAAATTTATAATATTTCAATACATACTTGACAAGAAACCGTTGGTCTGTGCGTGATTGTTGTTATGTTCCATTTTTTGGCAAATGAACGTGTGGGTATAATAATACGTAAGTTGGCAAACCAAGATACACTCCAGCTTAAGATCTAGTGACAACGAGGAATACAAAATAATATTTTAATTACTATAATAAAATCAACGAGCTCAATAAATTGTACCACAGAGTGTAGCTATATAGTGACAACTGTTAATCGTATTAAGAATGCAAAATCCCATTGAATAAAAACACACGCACTGTCTTAAGTATATACGCAATAGTATTGCTCGATTACTTACTTCAGAAAGGTTAGAGTAGATTGTTTCCTTTTTTTGTTTTTTAATAACTGTTATTCACTACTACAGAAAAATAATTGATCGATCGAGAATGCCGAAAAGCACATGTTGCGTCTTCGGCTCCGGTCACGAAAATAGAAGAGTACGACCGTTCGTACGTCGTATTATCGCCAACGACGCCAACGGGCAATGCACTAAAAGTAATGTAGCTGAATTAACAGAGGTTTTGGGTAGCGGGGTAGCCCGAGTTCTGAGGACCGACGCCGGAAGGATGGGTTCACACACTCCAACATGACCCCCCACTCAACCGATGCGCCGCTTCGAACCAAGTTTTCAGTTGGATCATCTGTAAAAATCATTACCCACATCCAGGGACCTTGTATGAGATTGCCGCGCTTTCTAACGTCCTTGGATCTAATGCGATATCAGAATTCTGAGTAGAGCACTATAGATGTATAGGAGCGTCTAAACACAGAACTGAACCGTGACCGTTTTGCGCATGCGCTAGTRACATTTCATAAATTGAAATCTCTTATCTGTTATCAGGTTATTACAACCATCTTATCTTATATCTATGATTACAACTTTTAAAAAATAAAAATCGTTTAATTATATTCAAATAATATTGCAATTTTGAATTTACTTGTATTAAATA